TTGTTTCTTAGCGACTAAAAGTTAGTTTCAGACAAAAATACAAACCAACAAACACAACGAAGGGGTTTCTGTCTCCACTGACTTCATCAAGTGCATTACCTTTCTCTGTGGAACTTCATACGACAAGCTGTTTGCAAGTAGATTAGTCCTACTTTCCTTCCCTTTCCCCTTTTTATTCCATTTTCTAAATACCTTTGGACTCCCCACTCCGCTAATATCCTCTTTCTTGTCTTCTCTTGTTTTACTCCCAAATTTAGGGCTTTTGATCTCTTCATTTTGTTGATTGTTGAGTAGTGGAGTTACTCTTTGAGGTATTTGAAGCTTCATTTTCTCTTGACGGACCTCATCCGCCTCATTAAAAGTCTTCTCACGTGTTACTTCTATCTCATCACCACCTTCAACTGCATTAAACGCACACATTTTGACTTCATCAAAGATGCTTGTCATCTCAAGGAAAACTCTCTGGAGCCCCCACATGAGAGGGTCTCGCAATTTGAAAAAGTACTGCGTCATATCTTCCTCCCCAAACAGTTTGATATTCACCCCACCGTCTCCCAAGATGAATACAGCCGCTTTGTTGTCGTCGTAATACCCCGGCGCACTGAAAACAGTGAAACACAAGGGTTTTCCGTTCCTCTCAAAATTGGTCTGAAAGCCTTCTTCTACACATTGGTGGCCTCGTAAGATCCCAGCAAGCTTATTTGTATCAATGAAGTCCTCCACCGCCCTTTGTCCAAAGTAACACGAGCACTGTCGCTCTTCGTTATCGCCAAAAGTGTATGTCGAGAGGTCCTTTTCTTCATCTGCTGGAACAGGGTCTGCCCAGAGTAAGTCGGTGAGGAGTCCGACTTCTCCCGGTTCTGTAAATCTCGTGAGCCTGTTCACGTCCTCACATGAATTTAAGTCCGGCGACAGGCCTCCATGACAGATAAAAAAGGTTCCACAACTTGTGTCAAGTAAAATAGCTAAAGGAAGTGCTTGGAACACTTCCAAGAGAGCAGTGTAGATTAGTTCGTTATATTTCCATTGACATTCAGTATGGAACCCATACGTCATCGTCATGTCTTGAGTTTCATGGTTTCCTCGTAATAAGTATACAGTGTCTGGGGAGTTGTATTTAAGACACAACAAAGTGATTAGAACCTCACATGAGTACTCTCCTCTGTCCACATAATCACCTAGAAAAAGTAATTTGTGCGTGTCGACGTCTTCTCCTCTTGAAATCAATATCTGTACTATATTTTAATAGTATACTGTATTATATAATAACTATATGATATTTAACGATTGTATTTAGATATTATTATTATAATTATTATAATTGTTATTAATAATTAATATTGATTAGTATTATATATATATATAGAATAAATACTATATTTTATTAGTATAAATATATACTAATAATATTAATAATATTTATTAATTATTAATAACAACAAACATCGCATCAAGTTCCGCCATAAAGTCAAAGTATTGCCCATGAATGTCACCAAAGACTACAGCATCTCCAGACGTCTTAATTAAATTGTCTTCCTGCACGAAGAGTGGTGTTACATTTTTGATGAGTGCGGTGAATGAATTGGTAGTGATAACTCCACCTTTTTCAAAATGTTCACGAAGTTCTGCTATGTCATAGACCCCATCAATAACACAAAGGTCGAGTTCATTGGATGAAATTGACATCTTTATAACATTGGAGTTATATAGTTATAATCAAATTATAAATATAAATTATTTTTTTAACGATTAAAAACAAAAGAGTGTTGTTCTTAATTAGTATTTGGTATTAATTTAATTTATTATAATCATTAATATATTCTATTTCCGTTTTGTCATTGTTATATTTACTATTATTTATTATATAAAACTAAAATCAAATAATTATTTCTATTTATAACATTTAATTATATAAATAAATATTACATGTATTATAACATAATCATTACATTTAATTATTATATTTGGGTCCCAAATTTAATATTTTTGGGGTGAAAACTCATTA